AGAAATACAGAGAACAAAGGAATGTGTTAAACTATACCATAGGCGTGCAATCAGAAAAGTCTTGACTAAAAAACTCTCTAGGATAAACGATCTGTTTTCTTCAACAAATTAAAACATAAAAAAGAGAGGCCGGGCGCAGTGGCACACGCCTGTAATCCCAGCACTTTGGAAGGCCAAGGTGGGGAGATTGCGAGATCAGGAGTTCAGGACCAGCCTGGCCAATATGGTGAAACTCCATCTCTACTAAAAGTACAAAAATTAGCTGGGCCTGTAGTCCCAGATACTCAGGAGGTTGAGGCAGAAGAATTGCTTGAACATGGGAGGTAGAGGTTGCAGTGAGCCGAGATCGTGCCACTGCACTCCAGCCTGGGCAACAGAGCGAGACTCTGTCTCCAAAAATAAAAATAAATTAAAAAGAGAGATAAAAGAAGAGCCTATAGAGATTTAAGACAGGCAAAACTAAATGCTGTTTACATACTTGAATGACAACACTATAAAGTAAGGAAATGATCACCATAAAAGCCAAGACTGCAGGTCCTCTGATGGGGAAGCGAATGGGAGGGAAACGTGGTAGGCTTCTGAACTAGCTGGCCAGGGACCATCTCCTGACATAGGCAGTGGTTACAAGGCTGTTAATCTTTGTAAACTTATATATAATTTACTAAGCTGTACTTTTGTGCAGTTTCTCTATTTGTTATTTTTAACAACAAAAATTTAAATGGAATGATCCTAAACACAGGAACCTTATAATTCTAACTGTGCCAATCAGTGTTCTCCCCAGCTGCTATCATATATAAACATGAAAAGCAACATTCCAAATCTTTTGGAACATATGAATAATTCTTATAAAAAGTCCACTAAAGTATTTTGAATGCACCCAATAATGTCAGCTAGCATCGTCACGGTTTTTTATTTGAAGCTGAAAATCTCATACTTACTAGTTTGCTGCTGCTGCTGTTGTGTATTAAATCCTCCAAATCCCAGTCCGGTTCCCAAACCGGTACCTAAACCAGTACTAGTTCCCGTTGTTGTGCCAAAACCAGTACCAAATCCAAAACCTTTGTTCTGAGTACCACCGAAGAGTCCTTTGAATGAAAAATTGGAACTTTGTAAGTTAAAAAAAAAAAACAAAAAACGACCTCTACTTCATTTACTTCTACAAATGACTTAAGATGGCCTCTTACCAGTAGTGCCTGTGTTAGTGGGGGCAGAAAAGCTGAATGCAGAACCTGCAGTTGTAGATGTTGTCCCAAATCCTCCAAACCCACCTAATTAAAAAAGAACAAAAATAGAAAGGAAGAATCTTTTGTATATATAAAGGCAACTTTTTAAAATTATAAGTAATTGCTACATATAAAATCAAAATATATTGATCTAATTTTTCCTTTCTCTACTTTCAAGATCAATTTTTTAGAAAACTATACTACCAATTGAGAAGTCAAAATGTTACAAGAAATGAACTAAGCATTTAATATAGAAATATCACAATGTAATATATACCCTTCAATTAAAGGGGTGGTTAACAGTTACAGATGAGAAAACACATTAAGCCTATTGCCATAATTCTAAAACGACTATGTATGTACTTTTAGAGGATGTGTTGCAAATTCATATGTCTAAACAGTAAAAACTAAAGTAGACTATGTGTTTACTGACAGGTGGAACTGTTTAAAATGAATAGTTTTTTTAGATCAGCAGTTCCTAAATTCCAGCAGATACAAGAAAGGTAGTTTAGTAGTGTCACATATTCCCATTTTTTACCCCAAGAGAAACAGGAAATCTGGATTTTCCATGTAAAATGTATGGGTTTTTAAACCCTAATTCAACTACTTTTTTTTTTTTTTTGCAAGGAATTCAAATGTTTTGAAAATAGCATGCCAAACATATCACATTAGCAGACTCGTTGCCAGTTTGCAACCTTGGTTTTGGTGAATTTATGTCAAGATTAACTTATATTTCTACTTAGTCTCTGTCAAGACTAAGTAACTTTTCAAAGGAAGCACACCAATACACTTACCTCCATACAACAAGAATGTGTTTCTTGAAGGAAGAGATTTGATAGATAAATGGAATGCTAGCCAATCTAAAATTGTTTTGTTATTTTTGTAACTTATTGTCAGTCTTCAGCTGATTACCAAGGGTATCAAAAAGCCTTTCAAGACAAATGTTTGAACCATTAGTGTCGAATTATATTGCAGGTTTTTTGGAATCTACCTTCAATTTTATTTATTTCTAGTATACAACACAGATTCATCAATATTGCAATACAGAAAATACAAGACAAAAATGCAACCATTTTATATTAATCACCTCATTCTGATTTGGAAAACTACTCAAGTAAGCTGCATGTTGCATGCAGGCACAACTAAATATTCTATTTACTTGTAGGTTCTACTGCAGTACTGCAAACTGTAAACATTTTCATAAAAATCACCTTAAGTACTAAGCACTGTTGTAATCTCTTTTCATTACTTTTCACTTCCACAGAATAACTATGATATAATCTGAATTGGCTACACAATAAACACTAGTCAGTTTCTCATCATGCTCCACAACATCAAAAATGTTTTAGTAATAGCAGGTCTACAAGTATACAAAATAAAAAGTAAACAAGAACTTTTATCAGCCCTCTGCTGAAGGTTAACACATACGAAAGTAGTTAAAACATGTTACATTATCGTAACTCAAAACTTAACAGTGATAACTCCAAATGAACATGAAATCAAGCAAATACCAACAAGTTTATTTACTGTTGTTGAATTATGAGCTGGGTGGTTTTATTCGGAAACACAAATTTCAAAGTAAGATTTCTGTTTTACCCAGTGCCAATTTTAAGCAAACAAGGAAAAGCAAACACACCAAAGGACAGTGATATGTGATCACTTCGAATACATCTTAATTAAAATGGATCATCTCATCTTTGACGTTTTCAAATATTCTTCTGTTTTCAACTCAGATGCTAGGGTGATAATCACATTGCAGTAACAAGTGAATGAATAAAATACCAAACTTCCCAAGTAAGGTTTAGGGAGTAAATAATGTTTATCAAATGCATATAATTGGCACGGGCATAAGAGGCATAATGTAAGAGACTATGGACGATAAATTCATATACGAGCAGCTGAAGAACAAGATTTTTTTTCTACAGTGTCACTATGTAAAGTACACATAAACCTATTTTAAATGCATACATAATATCATTATTGCGTCTTGCAAAATTTTTTAATGAGCTTCAAACAACCCACATGCATAAGAAAATCTTCATAATTATCTTTTTGAATGCAAAGACGTCTAGCCTACCTTTTAGAATTCGGGGCTATATGCCATAAAATTAAACTGCTCTCTTTGAGCTTTTCCCAAAATTCCAGAAAAGAATTGGGGATTCTTTCTATAATTACACATCTTATAGAAATTACACATCTTATAGTATCCTAATCTGCTGAGTTGACCAAAGAAATACATTATTATCATTATAACACAAGTTAAAAAACAAAACAGGTTACTGCTGTTCGTATAAGACTTGTTTCTCTTTGGAAACAGAAAGACAATAAAATGAAATCTCAATGAAAGATGCAGAAAAAATGAAAAATGACTGCAGGAGTCCAAGAATCCCAGGATGGGCTTGACTGGTGGTGAGTTTATACTTTGGAAGTCTTACCTAATAATTTAAAAGATATATTCTATTCAAAATTATAATCCAAATGCTTATCATTTGGAAAATAAGTGCACATTTAATAAAGGAACACAACTTGCAAAACTTTCCTAAACCACATCTTTTAAGGTACTAAAAACTTGATATAAATGTTTTTGATCTGAGATCAGGAAACAAATTTCCTTTCCTTATTAAACAAGTAACAGTTCCTTCCCAAACTCCAGGAATCACAATATTCTTGGACTCCAGCTCCCAACACTCGTTACACATACAACCCGCAGTATCTACCTGCACTTGCCAGACTGTTACCAAAATTGAACGGAGTCGCCGAGGTAGTAGAAACACCGAAATTCCCAATATTAAAGTTCACTGCAGGATTAGCAGTTAATCCGAAACCCCCAAAATTAAACCCACTGGCGGTGGAGTTGGCAGTCTCAAGCCCACCAAATCCTGATAGGCGTGTAGGCAAAGAAACAAAATTTTAAAAAGGGGGAGAGGGAAAAAGAAAAGAAAGCAACGTAAGGATTACAAGAATCAGCAGGAGGTTTCACAGAAGTGAACAAACCTGGTTTTGCTCCAAACAGTTTAAGAAAGCAGAGTGGGGGTGGGGTGGGGCAGATGGAAGAAGCACGACGGTTAAGCCCCATAGCGAGGACCACAAGGGGCCGGGGGCTGGAACTAAGGGAGTCAATGGGCAGTGCCGGTGGATCCCCAGCCCTATCCTCGCTGGCAGCGGGAATCACGCAAGCGTTCCCGCCTATCCGGGAGGCTGAGGTGCAGAACGGAGGGAGGGAGGCTCTCGGGCAAGGTGAGAGGGGAGCAACCTCCAATTTCTCTGAGTAGAACTCCCCGGTGGCGGGAAGCGAACCGCTGAAGCCAGGGCCCTGTGGAAACTCACGCGCGGCGCGCGAGCTTCTAGTGGGACCTCGAGTACCCCCGCGGCCTCCTCGGGAGCCGCCTCGGCCCACTTTGCGGCCGCCCGCCCTTTCCCAATGCCTCTAAAGTCTCCGCGTCGGCGGGAGATCCCAGGATACCCAGATCGGAGAGTCTCGGACAGAGGGGGCGGACCAGACCCTTCCCCTCCTTCCCGGGTGAAGGTCCAGGGGGATCACTCACCCGCGGGGGCCGCGGTGGCTGCAGCGGTACCGGAGGTGCCCGAGGGAGCCCCAAAATTGAAGGCCATGTCGCGAGAGCAGGAGACCAAGCAGATTACTCCCGCGACGCGCAGCGCGCTCCTCTTCTCAGTCCGGCAGGGAAACCGCCAGTCAGATCACCGAGTTCCGCCTCCTTTCTGGCCTAGCCTAAAAGGCCGGAAGGCGCCAAGGGCGTAGGAGCCGGGTGGTTGTGAGGGAACGCCCCCAGCCGGCTCACTTCCGGTGGGGTTCACAAGATGTGGGGCATCACTGTTAAGGTAAAATGCTGGGACGCTGGCAAGGGTGTGCCTCCTGGGAGTCCTTTAAAAACTGCCGTAGGGAGGTTCTTTGGGAAAGATGTGCAGAGGCTGAAGTTGTTACTGTAGGGATACGCGGTAGACAGCTAGAATTTGCATGTGGTAGGGTTGAAGTTGCTGCCCCATCAAAGAGTGGACCTGGGAGGTCGGGCAGCTGGGCTGGGTTTGAGAAACCACCACCACCCACAAGGAGATGGTATTTGAACCCAGTGCTGAAGGATGAGTAGGCGGAGCAGAAGTAGTAAAGAGGGTGCACGTTGGAAGAAATGAAAGAGAATGGAACTGTAGCAAACACGTTGCGTTTACTCTGTGCCAGGCACTCTTCTAGACATTTTACATAATTTAATTCTCAGCTATCTTGTGAGGTTGGTTCCTGCTATCTCCAGCTTATAAAAAAGGAAACAGGTACCAGAGGGTCAGGCTGTGTCCAGAGTCAGTACTCCTAACCACAGCTCTAAGGAGCACTGAAAAAGAGGGGAAGAGTGGTCCCCCTCCATCTTACTTGTAATATTATTTAATCCTCAGAATAACTCAATAGAGGAGATTCTGTAACTATATTTTGCAGGTGAGATGAGAGGATTGAGGTTTGGAGTTGTTAAGCAGCTTGCCCAAAGTCACCTTGCAAGTAGGTTCTGGAGTCTAGTTTTGAACTCATGTTTCTCCACTCCAGAGTCCCAATTTGTAAAAATTACCATTATATTATATTGCCTTGTAAATTATGGTAAGGATTTCAGACTATTTCTTGAGGGTAATGGGAAACCTTTAAGGGGTTTTAGGCAGAGGACTAGTATGACTAGAATTTTATTTTTAGAAGATCCCTCTGGCTGCCATGAGGAGAATGGATTGGAAGGAGCCAGCATGCCTCAGGAAGGTAGAGCTTTTAGGAGTCTGTTGTAGTTGCACAGGTAAGAGATGATGATGACTTGGATTGTATCTGGCAGTGGAATTATGAGAATAAATTTGAGAGATACTTAAGAAATAGCATATATAAGACTTGTAGTATTTGGACATGGGGAGTAAGGATTCAAGGACAACTTCCTGCTTTCTGGCTTGGGCAAGTTGGTGAATGGTGACCAGTGTCTGACTGCTGCAAACTAAGTATGCTTTCATACCCAATGCACTGCCTTCTTTCACTGTTTGTCACAGATAATTTATCAATCTAATTTTTACTCACAATAATATATATTCCATAAATGCAAGAACTGTGTCCCTCTTGTTCCATGCCCTGCACAAGTGTCTGGCATATAACAGGGGGAAATAAATAATGAATGAATGACAGATAGGTGGAAACCAGATCTTGAAAGACCTTCCTTAGCATGTTAAGGAGCTTTGATTTACCACCAGCTTGTCCAGCCTGCAGCCCACAGGCCACATGTGGCTCATGGCTCAGGATGGCTTTGAATGCAGCCCAACACAGATTCATAAACTGTATTGAAACGTTGTGAGGTTTTTTGGCGATTTTTTTAAAGCTCATCAGCTATTGTTAGTGTATTTTATGTGTGGCCCAAGGCAATTCTTCCAGTGTGGCCCGGGGAAGCCAAAAGATTGGGCACCCCCCGGCGTTAGCACATAGTCTAATGGTTAAGTACTTAGCTTACCTTAAAAAAACAAACAACCCCCCAATCTAGCAGAAAGAAAAACCAAAGATTAATTTATGGAATCTGCCAGAAGCTCAGAAATTGGAGATATCATGTATCTTCATCAGTTGGGGTAAAGGGAAGATAAAATGAGAGGAACTGGTTGAAAGTCTATTTAAGAAGCAGTTAGAGCTCCCAGAATCCTCTTCTGACCTTGTGCAGCCAAGTGAATGCTTCTTCCCCACTCTAGAAAAATAATGGAGGATTCTTCTCTACAGTGATTAAAATAGTATTTTTGCCAGGCACCAGCCTATAGTCACATCTACTCGGACAGCTGATGTGGGAGGATTGCTTGAGCCCAGGAATTCAGCCAGCCTGGGCAACACGGTGGGGACTCTCCCCTGCCCCCCGCCAATGTCAAAAAAATAAAATAGTAGTGTCTCTGGACTTGGGGGCACCAGACATTATTGAGAGTGGGTAGTGCCCTACTGAATGCTGGAAGACTGAGTGGAAATGCATGCCTATACACCTTCCCCTACTGCTCCCAGAGCATTGGCAGCCAACCCTTTACCCTCCAGGAAGGTATAGGAGAATCTTCTATGGGTGAAATGACCAGTATCAGAGAAAAGACAGTCATCTGACATCAGAAATCTCTAAATAAATGATTTAGCCACATCACATTATAGCAGTGGTCCTCAACTGGTGCCAATTTTGACTTCTACTCCTCCCACCCCCTGGCACATGTGGCAGTGTCTACAGACAGTTTTGGTTGTTGCAACCAAACTTTTAATTTAAAAGTTTCATTCTCCTTGCAGTTAGTTTCCTCCAAGCTGCTTTTGCTGCGCTATTTGTTTTGATCTCTATACTTTGTGTTAAAGACTTTCCTCAGCTTGGTAATCCTTGCTGGTCTACTCATACTTAAGAGTAGAAGATCCTACAGGCATCTATTGGGTAGAAGTTGAAGATGCTGCAAAATATTCTAGGACAGACTCCCTTCCTCTCCAAACAAAAAATTATCTGGCCCCAAATATCACTTTTACAGAGTTTGAGAAATCCTGCTTTATAATAAAGCTCACACTTCGCAAGCCTCACTAAGACACACAGAACTTCCATTCAGCTTTTAAGTTCCACTCTTAAATATGACTAGACCAGCAAGGATTACCAAGCTGAGGAAAGGCTTTAACGCAAAGTATAGAGATCAAAACAAATAGCGCAGCAAAAGTAGCTTGGAGGAAACTAACTGCAAGGAGAATGAAACTTTTAAAAAGTGTCCACAGAGAGATAGCAAGAGATATTGTAACCATGAAATAATATCAGGATGTTATTATTTTCAAAGAAAGGTATTCTCAGCAGAACAAAAGAGAGCTGTAGGAATTTTAAAGCTATTACCGGAAATGAAAAACCCAGTAGAAGTGTTGGAAGATAAAGGTGAAGAAATCTCTCAGAAAGTAAAACAAAAAGACCAAGGATGGAAAATTGAAGAAAAAATAAAACTAAAGGACTAGTTCAAAAAGTTGTCTATCACACACACTGTTATATTATGCACATCAGAAAGAGTATACAGAAAAATCTGTCCTTTAAAGTCTTTGAACATTATTCCTATTATTCCTGTTATTCGTTCATTCAGAGTTTATTGAGTCCTACTATGTACTTGGCACTATTCTGAGCGCTAAACAGAAAAGGTATGGTTTGTGCCTTTGAGAACTTACTGTTGAGTGAGGGAAAACCAGATATTAAGTTAATAGTACACTTGTGGGCCAAGTGCAGTGGCTCATACTTGTAATCCCAGCACTTTGGGGGGCCAGGGCAGGAGGGTCGCTGAGCTGGGGAGATTGAGACCAGCCTGGGCAACATAGAGAGACCCCATCTCTACAAAAAAAAAAAAATAGACCAAATTAGCCAGATGTGGCAGATGCCTGAAGCCCCAGAGGTTGATGCTGCAGTGAGCAGAGATCACGCCACTGCACTCCAGCTTGGGTGACGGAGTGAGACATCTCAAAAAGAAAATAGTGTACTTGTGACTATTCAAGAATGCAGCACAGATGAGAAAATTATTAAATAATTCAAGAAAATTTATCATAATTGAAAGACATTGTTGGTTTGAAAATGGTTCACCAAATGCTCATTACAATTAATGAAAATAGACTTACACTAAGGCACATTCCAAAATAACAGAACCATGATGGCAAAGAAGTTTCCAGAGAATAAAAGAGGTCACACACAAAAAAACAGGAATCAAAATGGCATCAGACTTCTCAATGGTAACACTAGCTAGAAGGCAGTCAAGAAATGCCTTTGAATTTCTGAATACAAATTGTTTCCAGCTACAATTCTATTCCCAGCCAAGTTGTAGATCAGCTGTGAAGGGTGACTATCAGCATTTTTAGACAAAAAAAAAAAAAAAGTTTAAGAAAATAAAACACCTCCTATTTTTTAGGCAGTTAGTTACCAGAGGATGGTTGCCACCAAGATGGAGCCAAGGCTGAAAGAGGAAGACATTCGGAGCTCCAGCACAGATGGCAGGAATCCCCAGGATGACTTGGAGAATAACCAGTCCAGACTATAGCAAGTCTGGTTCTGGGGAAGGCTACTTCAAAAGGATGAGCAATTTGAGAGAGATTTAGACAATCAGCAACAAGGTTGGGGTTGAATTGGTGATAAATACATGAAAACTAAGCCAGTGGGACAATTAAACAATATTAGATGAAAAAGGAAAAGTGTTGAAAGGTTACTACATGGCTCAGTTGTGCAGTTTCCACATAATCCCAATAATGTGAATTGAATATTGAGCTGTACAAAATTATGGCATAACTATACTGGAAAGATGGGGGAATGAAAAGAATATTTGTGTGCATAGAAAAGAGCTAAACCCTCATGCACCATGGTGGGGAGTCAGTGGGTAACACTGAAACAAAATTCACCAAGCAGCGTATCATCTAGAGACAGGGGGTAAAATTTAAAAAAAATTTAAAAAAGGCTAAAACAGGTGTCTGCAAGCACTCTGAGAGTAGTGTCTGCTTTTCCTATTTTTTTAAAAAATAACAATTGTAGAATTGTTTGATTGTTAAATCTATGTGCTTATATGTATAACTTTAATAAAAATGAAAACAAACAATAACAAAAAGGCTTTGTGCTTATCAAAATTACTAATGTTGTTTGACCCAGCAATACTACTTCTAGGAATTTATCTTATAAATGATTTGGCAAAATAATGGAATACAAGATAATTCATTACAACACTATCTATAATAATGATTGGAAACAAACTAGGGTTTGGTTAAATAAATTGTTGCTTTTATACAAAGGAATACTATTCCGCTATGAGCTAGGAACAAAAAAGCCCTTTGTGTACTGAAAAGAAAGACCTCAAAGATAAATTACATGTGGAATGTTCATCCTTGGAGTTGAAAAAAAAATTACATGAAAAATGCACAATTCAGAACACTGTATGTATGCTACAATTTGGGTTTTTAAAAAAGGGCTAGAATATATAAATACACATGATTTGTACAAAATATTCCTGGAAAAATACGTTTGAAAAACCAAATAATATTGGTTGCATCTGGAAAGATGTATTGGGTGGCTAGGAAATGGGTGGAGGAAGACTTTTACCCTAAACCCGTTTTATGCATTCTGAAAATGTAAAAGGGTTACTTATTTAAAAAACTAAGTAATGCTGGCTAATATGGTGAAACCCCATCTCTACTAAAAAAACAAAAAATTAGCCAGGCATGGTGGCATGCACCTGTAGTCCCAGCTACTTGGGAGGCTGAGGTAGGAGAATCGCTTGAACTCGGGAGGCAGAGGTTGCAGTGAGCCGAGATCGTGCTGCTGCAGCCTGATGACTGACTCCGTCTCAAAAAACAAAACACACACACACAAAACCTAAGTAACGCTAATAGAGATTATTGCAGGAGTCCTAGTGAGAGTGCAGATATGCAGGTGAGGACAGCAGGAATGAAGACTGATGGGTGATTGCTTAATTGATTATATGTGGAGGGGAGGGAAAGGAGGAGTCTAGCATGAGTCCCTGATTTCTGGCTGTACAGTGAGATATGATTGTGATGCCATTTTCTAGTAATGGGAATTTGGGAAGAAAAGAAAAATGAGTTCCTATACTTACTGCATTTGAGGCAACCTGGCTAAGGATATCTAGCAGGTATCTGGATATGTGAGGCTGAAGCTGAAGAGTAAAACCCATTTACTTCCCAGACTTCATTTACAACCCAAACACAACCCAGCCTGTGTTGTGAAAAGAAAGACCTCAAAGATAAATTACATGTGGAGTGTTCATACTTGGAGTTGAAAAAAAAAGTACATGAAAAATGCACAATTCAGAACAAAACCCAACCTGTGTTTGGGTTGTAATTGAAGTCTGGGAAGTAAATGGGATTGTCAGGGAGAGAGTATCAAGTGAGGAGAGGTTGTAGCTGAGCACTATTACTAAGAAGAGAGCAGAGAGTCTTCAAGGGAGCCTGAGATACAGGGGCCAAATCCAGCCCACTGCTGATTTTTGTAAAATACACTTTTGTTGGAACATAGAGACATCATTTATGCATTGTCCACAGCTGCTTTCATGCTGCAAGAGCAGAATTGAATAGTTGTGACAGGGCACCTGACTTGCAAAGCAAAACTATTTTCTGTATGGCCCTTTAGAGAAGTTTACCAAACCTCACCTAGACTACGGCAGCAGCCCCCGTAGCACAATGAGCAAGACTCTCTGTGACCTTGGCAGTTCATTCTTGGTTGCGTGCAGAATGAGTTAGCTGTGGCTGGGGTTTCCTCCTTCTAGGGAAAAGGCTGCACCCAAGCTCAGGTTCCCATGGGACTGGCGCCTTCTTCATCACAGGAGTGGAGATTTTTAACATTCCATGGACAGCTGGCATTTCCAGACAACTCCTGTAAACCATTGGCACTCCAAATCCAACTGCCTGTTGCTCAGCATCTTGTGTATTCCCCCATTGACGAGACTTCTTCAAGCTTGCCCTATAGAAAGGGAGACTAGGAGGAGGACGTGCTCTTCTGAAACCAAACAGCGTTGTGGGCCTTGGCTCACCTCTCCATGGGATAACATGAGGATGGTACCTTCTTTTTTCCTGGCCCTGTAAATTTGTATTTCCTCCAGTGAAGCTCATTCCTTAGCCCATGCTATGTAGCTTTGTGGATTCACCCTGAAGGGTGGTGTATGACAGCTGATGACCCGGAAGACCCATCTTGCATGCCAATGGAGACCTAGCACAACAGCTCCTAATTGATCTCCCTGCATCCATGTTGATTCTCTTCAATTGTAGTCTTCATCTTGCAGCTAGAATGGGCCTTTCTAAACAGACTTGCCCACCTTCCTCCCACAACCCAATTGAAAACACAGTAGCTCCCCATTGGTCTTAAGACATACCAAAATACCCAAATCTTTAATATGGTTTAATGAGACTCAACATGATCGGGCCTCTGCCTTTTTCTCCAACCTTATTTCCCACCATTCGTCCCTCTCTGGACTGCAGCCATTTTCTCAGTCACTTGTAGTAACCGCATTTCCTCCTGCCCTTGAGCATGTCCTGTTCCCTTTGTCTGAAAGACCTTGCTTTGCTTAATTAACTCCAGCTCCTAGTCATGTTCCCAAAACACTAAACTCAGTTGAAATTTTACATTTTATCTGTATGATTATTTGGTAACTGTTTTCCACACTAGACTGTAAGATCCACAGATCTCTTTTAAACCAGTAGCCTAGTTTATATTCAAAGTGCCTAGCATAAAGTGGGTGCTTAATGAAATTAGTTGAACACATTTTTAGGTATAATGTAGAAAGAAGCCAGGATCCAAATACCACATACTCTATAATTAAATAAAATGTCTGGAGAAGGCAAATCTACAAAGACCGAAAGATGATGGTGGTTGCCAGGGGCTAAGGTTGGCAACAGAGTGCTTATAAACTGGCATGAGGAATTTTATTGAGGTTATGGAAATGTTCTAAAACTGCACAACTCAGTAAATTTACTAAAAATCATTGTATTGTACATTTTAAATGGGTGACTTTTATGGTATGTAAATTATACCTCAAAAGTGTTTAAAAATAAAAACTTGACTGAATGAAAAAATATAGTTACTGGAAATGGGATCTTTATCTTGTGCTGAATGTGTATACATGTTTTTATACTTTGTATTCTATACCACTCATCCTATACTGTTTTCTTAGTGCTAATGGATATATGTTTTAACATACCTTATTGCTTAAAAAATTTTTTTTCTGGATTTTTCTTACTCCCTGATTTGAAATAATCAGGCTTGGCATGTTACAAAGTTCCAGGTGTCTCTAACTACCTTGAGTAAGAAGAAATAGGTACAAGGAGCTTCCCTGTGACATAAACCAGCTGCAGAGTTAGGATTCCTAGGAAGTATATATCTTAGGGATCAAGTGTCCTTGATACATGACATTTGTAACACTGAGCTAGATATTTTAAGACTTTTCTGGATTTGCTGATTTCAAAAATAAGTTGCAGTATTGGGATGGGAAAGGTTTTAAAGGTAATCTGAAGTTTGGAATTAATAACTTTAGTACCCTAGATAGTACCGTAGATAAATATCCCTAGAAACAAAAGCCTCAGCCCTTTGGGAGGCTGAGGTGGGCAGATTGCTTGAGCCCAGGAGTTCAAGACCAGCCTGGGCAACATGGCAAAACCTTGTCTCTACAAAATATACAAAAATTACCCAGGTGTGGTGGTGCACACCTGTAGTCCCGGCTACTAGGGAGGCTGAGGTAGGACGATCACTTGAGTCCAAGAGGTCGAGGCTGCAGTAAGCCATGATTGCACAACTGCACTCCAGCCTGGGTGACAGAGCAAGACTCTGTCTCAAAAGAAAAAAAAAAAAAAGAGAAAGAAAAGAAAAAAAAAAAAACACCCAGTGCCTCTCCAATAGCTCTTGGATCCCACTGAGCCTTTTGGGTGGACTTATCTGCATTTTGGTTGGGTGTACCTGGAAGCAGACCTAAGATAAGCAGACGTAAGATGTTAGGACAGGTGGATGATTTGGGAAGCAGCATTGAAGGGCTGGGCGATTAAGACAGGGAACAAAGAAACACTAACGGAAAGTAGTTACCACTGTGGGCAACCCTAATTGAGGACCCATGTGGAATAAGCCTGAGAATTGGTCCTCTCTGATAGAGGATGATTGAAACATCTATCAGCTGACTGACTCCTGCCCCATTTAGTTGAGGGTTGCCTTGGGTTATTAACTCTCTGATACTTTCTCAAGGGCTCTTGAGAAAGACTCAAGACAGAAAAGCAGAGTGTGGGACTGCTTGGAGTGGAACTTGTCAGGCTGATTGTAACTGTCCACTACAGCGAAGCTGAAATCAGACATGGTCCAAGTGTGTGACTCAGGGCTGCCTCTGTCAAGGAACATCTTTCCAGTGAAACTCCATAAACAACAGGACATCCAATGACATATAACTTCTAGTGCAATTTTATATAAAGTGGTTTTTTATTAGTGAAACATTTCATTGCATTAAGGGTAGAAATAAACACGTCAAGAACCGCATGAAGTGTACCAACTGTATGAGCTACATGAAGAGCATTCTGGTCAGTATTCTCATTAACAGGCACAAGCAATTTAGTGATAATGCCCAGAGGGCCAAGGATACGGACCACCTTTTGCAGAACTCATATCTCAAGCAATTTAAATTAAAAATTAGCCTCCCTTAAGTTAAAAACCCCAATAGGGGTTAGTCGTGTAGTGCTTGTTCCACTTGACCATTAGTGATCTTTCTAGAACATAAGGAAATAAAATCTGGTTGGAAAAGCCTGGAGCTAAAAGTGGCAAAGCCCATTTCCTGTCCTGTGCTCAACTCCTAATTTTCCCTGAGAGAAGTGAGTTAAGCTCTCTGTCTTGGTTTCTTCCTAAGTTGAGGATCATGGTACCAGAAGCTTGCATTCTGTGATCATGACAGTGCTTACAATCACAAAGCCTTTGAGGGTCTTTCTAAGATAACTGCCGCAAGAGAATAAGCATGAGAAATAATTTATCTTTAACTTAAAGCCTAATAGGTGCATTCATTCCTCTTAAGCTATAATTTTGACTAGTTTGTACGTCTGTCTCAGACTTTTCAGAAGGATAGTATCAAATGTGATTTTAACCAAGTAACTATTAAGAATCATGACACAGGCCAGGGGCAGTGGCTCACACCTGTAATCCCAGCACTTTAGGAGGCTGAGGTGTGTGGCTAGCAAGGTCAGCAGATCGAGACCATCCTGGCCAACATGGTGAAACCCCGTCTCCACTAAAAATACAAAATTTAGCTGGGCGTGGTGGCACGTGCCTGTAGTCCCAGCTACTTGGGAGGCTGAGGCAGAAGAATTGCTTGAACCCGGGAGGCAGAGGTTGCTGTGAGCTGAGATCACCCCACTGCACTCCAGCCTGGGTGACAGAGTGAGACTGTCTCAAAAAAAAAAGAATCATGACACAAGTATGGAAGTAATATGTTTTTGGTCTCCCTGCCAGTGTGTAACTCAGTCTAAATGTGTATATCATTAACTGTTATCATTTACAGTATTTAAAATATCCTCACAGATGATTCTATCCTGATAATAGGACGAAGCCAATAAGTATGCACTAGCGTGTCCATTTTATTAGTATGGATAAGTACATGCATAAATAAGACATGCCCAATTATCTAGTTAAATATTTATAAATTCTAAAAATCTAGATATTTAGCATTATTGCA